TTCTGCAGCAGCAGCAGCCTCCGCAGCGGCAACAGCAGCAGACACCGCCAGCAGCTGTGTCCCCGTCGCCACCGGAGACTCCGCCGAGACTCTCAACGGGTACGCAGACAACGCGGGACGACTGGGAGACGCCTCCTGGGACGCGCCGACAACCCCCGTCGCCGCACACGCCGCCGGGATCACCACCGGCCTTGAGGACACGCGACCTCAACAACAACCAGCCTTGGGGGCCAGCAAAGAAGACGCGCTGCCAGCCACAGATCGAATACCGGGAGCGACTGACGGCGTAACCCGCGCCGTATCAAACGGCCCTTTTCAGGGCCACATAAAGTACCAACAATCGGCCCTTTTCAGGGCCACCAAACATTCTGTAATTACTGGTGTAAATATACTGTACATAGAACGAACATACTCTCTGGTCATTTATACGAACCCGGCGGAAGAAACCTCCAGCGATTAACTGGCGATCCGGCAGAGAGGCCGAAGGCGACGGCCGCTGCATTATAGTAAGATAAGCGCGACTAACCTTCGAACCATGGTATAAGAATATAAAGTATTTCGTTCCCGAGGATGCGCAGTAGTCCAAAATGGCGGCTGCTCCTAAACCAATCACAAATTTGTCCAAAATTGTAAAAAGCAACATGGCTGCTACCATAGTATATATGTACATTATATGTACATTATTTATTTGGATTGAGAATGTGTGTCAAAAACATTAACATTTATTTTATTTCATACTCCATTTTATTCATTTACGAGTTTTTGTATTTTTTCAAATTTAGTCTTGTTTTTACAATTGTGTATGTTATTTTTAAAAACTGCATTTGAATTTAGCGCTAAATTTTGGGCAAATTTCTGATTGGTTGTTCTAGTACTTTTCCGCCATTATGCGCAATGAAATACCTTATATTCTTATACCATGGAACTGCTTTCCCAAGGAAATTAATATTCGTCAACAGTGGATGGATGCTTGTGTAAATAGAAAAAATATAAAAGTTGAATCAGGTAAGTTGATATTATTTGGAATATATTTATTTTAATATGTACATAAATCTGATAAACACACATATATATATATATTTACAAATAAATTTTGATATAATTTCAGCGAGAGTATGCAATCTTCATTTTGATGATAACTGTTTCATAATGGAATGGACAAAACCATATTTTAAAAAAACTACACTGCCCAGACAATTACGAAGATTAAAAAGGGAAGCTATTCCAACAAAAATGTTATATAAAGAGAAAAAAAGAAAAACTCATGAGACATGTATGAGACATAATACAAAAATGCCTACGTATTCTGAACTTGTAACTTTAGCACAAAAGGATCAAGTTCCAGAAAAAGAAAGTACTGAAATTATAGAAGAGCAAAATTGTAGTACAAAGGAAGACACGTATGTATATCTTTACAAATTCTTTTAAAGACTGAGTAATTTGAATAATATGCAAATACTATTGTACACTAAAAATAAATATTTTAATAAATATTTTTTTGAATATAGGATAAACAATGAAATATCAGCACATACGAAACTCGACCAGAACGGCTGTATATCAAACGAACTCCTATTGGAAGAAAAAAGAAATCTTGAGAAAGAAAATCGACAGTTAAATATGCAAATAACACAATTGCAAGCAGAAAATATAAAATTGCAAAAAGATCGGCAGAAAGAAGTCGAAGAATTAACCACCAATATTTTGTGTACAGTATTCACTCCAGGGCAAATAAAATTATTAATGTTACCGGAAAAAAAAACGTATAAAATGGACATTCGAGGATATGGTGTCTGCCATTTCTTTGCGATCATATAGTCCAAGAACATACAAATACTTAAGAAATATTAAACAGATACCATTGCCATGTTTAACCAGTATACATAATTGGATTGCAAAGTTTGATATTTCACCAGGAATTTTAAAACATGTTATACAAATTATGGCAAGTAAAGGATATGATCTTCCTATTACCGACAAATTAACTATTCTAACATTTGACGAAATGTACATTTCAAATAAAATAGATTTAGACAAGAAAGAACAAAAAATTTACGGTCCTCACAAAGCGTGTCAATTTATAATGGCTCGAGGATTATTTAAAAAATGGAAACAACCTATCTATTATAATTTTGATGTTCCAATATCACGTAATATTTTATTTAATGTAATACAACATCTGTATGAAGCTGATTATATCGTTGTGGCTGTCACTTGTGATACGGGTCCATCAAACATGAAATTGTGGAAAGAACTAGAAATCGGAACTAATGATTATTGTAACACGAAAAACACTGCAATAGTTACCGATAAACAATGTTTTATTGTGCATCCTTTCAACAACTCACTAAAAATATTCTTCTACGCAGATGTTCCGCATTTGCTAAAATGCGCAAGGAACAATTTTTTTGACTCTGGTTTTATAATTAATGGAGTCCCAATAGGCAAAAACTCTTTAGTAGAATTACTAACGTTAAATAAAACAGAATTGAAAATAGCTCATAAATTGAGTAGCGCGCATTTAGATGTAAAAGGAACAAAACGTCAAAACGTTAAAATGGCAACCCAAGTCTTCTCAAATACAAATGCATTGGCTTTACAATGGTGTGGAGAGAATAATTTATTAGTCAGTCTACAATGGAAACAAACCTCTGAAATTTTGAAATTATTCAATGATTGGTTTGATGTATTCAACAACAATTTGAAATATCAGCATAATAGTGCGTCGCATGCCTACGGAATAAATTTAGAAAAACAAGATAAAATAATTAATGACATGAATATATTTATCAAAGAAATGAGAGTTGGACAAAGAAAAGATTTATTACAATTCCAGAAGGGAATTTTATTATGCAATAAATCTTTGCAAGAAATGTTTACATATTTACAACATATGTACTCATCGGAAGCATTTGATGTAAAATATCTATTAACAAGACGATTAAACCAAGACATCCTGGAAAATTTTTTTTCTTATTTGAGATCTATGGGAGGAAGATGCGATCATCCCACACCTGTACAACTAAAACATCATTTAAAGTGGTACATCTTGGGAAAGGACTCAGGGCATATGCTTTCAGCAGGAGAAAATACCGAAGGAGACAATAACTGTGCTACATTTATTAATATGGAAGCTATAAATAGTCCAGACTTTATTAATCTTGACATTTCGGATTTTCCCTCAGAAAATGAAAACATAACCGAAGAAGAAGCAATATTTATGTCCATTCAACAATCAGAAGAAGATATTATGAATCTCAGAAGGGAAGAAATAGAAAATTATGGCATAGAAGGAGAAACTGTACAAGGTAGCAAAAATTAAAAAATTCATTAATTATTATTATTAATAAATATTTTACATGGAAATTAATTAATTGTTAAGAATATGATCATGTTAGCGTTATCGGTGAGTAGATCCTTTTAAACCCTATAATTTCCATCTAAAACATTTTACTTACAAATGCTTTACTTTCATGATATTCGACCATTTCCAGAATTTTGACATATCCTATATGTAATACACACATAATTACATGTATATTTCTTTTCCTTTTAGTGTTAAATGTAAGTAATTATGACTCCAATCCCGATGAAATTAAATTAATAGAAGATTTCGAGCTATTTACTTCCCAAGAGATAATAAAGTCAAATGCACTCATATATATAGCCGGATATGTTGCACATAAATTTCGAAACCAATTCCAAAATTTAGGACTTCCTACTAAAAGCTTACCCAATCCAATTAATGACTGGACCTACAAATTATCAAAAGGCAATTGCATGTATCCATCGACAGAATTTTTAAATGTAGCTAAGATTATGGACCAGGAATTTGAAAAATTTCATGGCAATTCTTTTAGCAACGAATGTAAAAGTTTTGATAAACTGACTATTATTATTTATAATAAAATCAATTATATGGTTCCAAAAGAAGTCATTGCGTGTCTTGTTCGTACCAGAACATATGTTAGACTACGAATTAGAAATAGCGAAATCGTAGAAAATAATTTATTAAGAAAAAAAAATAATATTATAAAATGCATAAAATATGTAACAAAGAAAATAGAAATCTAATAAAATAATATATTTTTGAAAATGTGTTTATTTATTTATAATAGCATGTTATAATTAATAATAAATTTTAGCAAATATTAAGTATCTAAATTACATTTATTAACATTATTACATTTATTAATATTATTGGCATTAACATTTATTTTATTTCATACTCCATTTTATTCATTTACGAGTTTTTGTATTTTTTCAAATTTAGTCTTGTTTTTACAATTGTGTATGTTATTTTTAAAAACTGCATTTGAATTTAGCGCTAAATTTTGGGCAAATTTCTGATTGGTTGTTCTAGTACTTTTCCGCCATTATGCGCAATGAAATACCTTATATTCTTATACCATGCTTCGACCCACAGTGTCTTTTCATGCCGATGCTCGACGCTCGTTTTCAGCGTCAAAATAAGTCACGTGATAGAAATTGGCGACTATCAAGCGTCAATTTTGATCTGTGATTTATTTTGACGCTGAAAACAGCTGAAAACGAGCGTCGAGCGTCAGCATGAATAGGCACCTTATGCTGGATTCACACTGTATCCGATTTTCGTCGT